CTGCCTGAGCACCTGGGGGGTCTGGCCTTGAGATAAGTGCCTCCACTTCTCTCATCTCAACATCTGGCATTGGCCCACATTCCAAGGCCTCCTCCTTGGAATTCCAAGTTCCAGTTAGAAGGTCTTAGGCATGCAGCCCAAACGCAACTGTCCTTCACACTCCCAACAAATTGAACAAACAAATGCTTAGAAAACCAGCATCATACACCGTCCAGAGACGTGAAAAGATTATTGAAGTTGTAGTTCTCTGCCCTTGAAGACAGGATATGATCAAGCTACTTTTAACAGCTGGGTTAAAATTTGGCTTGTTCAGCATCTGCAGAAAATGGCTGTTCCTGGGTTGGTTTGCAGCCTGGGATCCTGCACCTTTAGCAACTGCATGGCAAGTGGGTACCAAGCAGAGAAAACTCCTCCAGGTGCAGCATTCAGCAGCAGGCTGAGCCTGTTAAATTCTGCACTTAATGGAGCTGCTCAAGACACAGAGGTAGTTGAACCTGGGACATGCGGTGGTGATGGCAGTGGTGGCGGCGGCACTGGGGGGAGTGGTTCCAACCTGCCACTCTTGCCTGATGCAGGAGCCTCATTTCGCATGATAACAGGGTCAGGCCTGTTAACATGTGTTGGTATTTGTGGTGTTTTGGGTCATGCACCCTTTTACCTTCAGCCGCACCACTGCTGGAATACAGCCCCTGACAGCTGTTCAGAGATTGAATTTGGCCCTCAGACTGAAGGTGAGGCCCTGAGTTAGAAGCAGACTGACTGAAGTGGGGAAGCCCTTTCTGCTTGTGCAGGAGCCCACATGACTAGGAGTGCTGAAAAGCAAAATGACCACCAACACTGCATCCAAGTTTATAAATGGTTTCATTTGAAAATCTTAAGAATTTACAAAAAGATTTCATGGATTTAACAAGTGCTATGATTTAACACTTTAATAAATATATAAACAGGTTTTTAAATGTGAAGTGTATCCATATAAAACATCAGTTTTACTCTCAAAGCAGGGTATGTTACTGTCCCACTTAAACTGGAGCTCGGGCGAAACAGGAACAAGCCCAAACTTCAAAATTAGCACCTGTATTCCAATGGCCAATCAAACTGCACTAATAAAGGTCATGGCTTGTTTCATCTCAGGTATTGCTATCGGGTTATAGCAGATCAATCAACTTTGCCCACCTCATCTTTCTCCTTCGGAGGCCTGGTGCAACCGTGGCCACAGAGGACTTCACTGCAGTCACCCTGCCAGCCAGTTTTGCGCTCATATGAAAGGACTGAGGTCTGGCACAAGCTTCCTTCTGTTGCACGTCAGTCAAGCGCTCCTCCGGCCTTTCTAAGAGGGGCCTCCTGTTCCACCAACAGCAAAGGAATGGCATTCTAAACATCCTGTGTTATCAACAACAATCTTAGCTGCACACGCCCCATTGCCTTGCACACAGATAGGGACTACACAGCATTTGTTGTCATGCAGTCTGGGTGCCACAAGATATTGTTTCAGGGTTATCAGGGCAGTACAAACAGTATGCTGGTTATGGATCTTGTGGGTGGAGGACTGTTCTCTGCCAAGTAGGACACCTGGACACGCTATGATGCATGAAAACATGTGTGCATACATGTGACTGTAAGGACACAATCCAAAGATCTCCATGCCAGAGGCGTGTATTCAGCTGCGCTCAGAGGCCCGTGTGCATCCAGTGCCTGGAGCAAGGCACAGCGGCAGTGATCTTCACCACCTGCTACATCAGGCCCTGCAATTCATCTAGAGGTCCATTTCGGGCCATCTAAATGGAGCACTGCAAAAGGAAAAGGAAGGAGGCTGGGGCATCATGGGATGCACCACCCAGCATGTCCTTTTGACTCCTCCCCAAGACCAAATTCTGACCTTAGAAAAGCAGCCAGCAAGGCTCTATCCACACCGGCTGCTGTTGTGGTGGTAGCAGTGATGGCGGCGCTCTGTGTTCAGACACCAGACCAAAGAACTGGGGGTCCAAATAAGCCTATATCCCCTCCACCAAAGCTGGGATGCCATAGGATAGCTTCCTAATTCTCTTTGCCTACCCATCTCTATCTCTTTCCTAACTGAGGATGACATGAAATATTTCTGATGAGCTGAGCACTAGCGCACAAAAGAGATCACAAAATGTCAGGTAGTAATGACAGGTGCCACAAGACTCCCTTTGCTTCTGCTCTGTAAGAGTTGCCCAGCCAGTTCATTGGAATCCGAGCAGACTCCCCTGACCACTGACACTGAGGAAAGAGACTTCCCCCTCTTCTTGCAATAGGCTCGGTGAAAAAGAGAGTTCAGAAAGAGGTCCCAACTGCTTAGCCACAGAAGTCCAACCTGCTGCTGGAGAGTTTCCAAGAAATGCTCTTTGTCTAAACTCCTGAACTGGAGCCAGATCTAAAGGTAAGATGTAAAGTACATGGTAAGTTTATTGATACCCTTTGCTTTTTGGGAGTATTTTAAACTGGGGATGGTTGAGCCCCTTTGCACACATGCTGAACAGAATTCAGGCAAACTTCACTTGCAGTGGGGAGGAGAGAAGAAACAGCGGATTTTAGAAAGTAGCACGAAGTAAACAGACAAGAAATTAAAGCTAGCTGACGGTGGGTGGGAGGTCATATGAAGCTTGCAAGAAAATGACTACAGAGGTTATTTTACAGCTGTGTGAGGCTGAGAAAGCAGAGAATGAGGAGATCAGTAGCTGTGTAATCTGGCAGTCTGCCATTCTCTGCTTTTTGCTCACTTGCTGTATAGAAGCAGGAGAAGAAGGCTTTTAGAAAACAGAAAAATGGAATCTGGAAAGAACAAAGTGGATGTTAGAAGGAAGAAACTAAATGAGAGAGCAAGTAGAAAGAGGAATTTCTAAGAAGAAAGAAGCAGACAGGGGAACAGAAAGGCTGACAAGTAACTTCAAATGCTGAAGTTAAATACAGTGGTACCTCAGCTCATGAACTTAATCCGTTCTACAACTCAGGTTGCAACCCAAATTGGTCACGAGCCAAGTCAAATTTCCCCATAAGGTTCAGTGTAAATAAGGTTAATCTGTTATGTAATCTCTCTCTCTCTCTCTCTCTCTCTCTCTCTCTCTCTCTCTCTCTCTCTCTCACACACACACA